ATTGCTGGAAAAAATAGTCATGAGTATTGAAAATATATATATGGCTATTTGGATCATGGGAGCTGCAATTGGTGGCAAAGGGTATGATTGCCTAATACTTTATGTAGATATTTTAACATAAATGATTTTTTTTTAATCAACAGCTATAAACATTTTTATGAATAAGTGTATCCTCATTTCTACCACCAAGTTAAAAGACACTCAATCAATGCACTCAGTACTCAACTTTGAATACGATATGAAATCTTTTATTTCAACCTACTTTCACTAATGGGACAAATAATGAGTATACTTCTAAACAATACAGAAAATATTTCAAAAATCACGATATTATAAATATATCAGTTATTGTAAATGACAAAGCCAAAAATTCATTCAACCTACAGAGTGAGTATAATGTTTGTTCATTCTTCAAACTATTTTATTCATATGAAGAATCAACAAGTATATTGAGGTTTATCTTGTCTGGGCCTACAAATTTATTGACACATCAAAAAATGGTGAAATGAACCACATGTAATGACATGCTTGCTCCTCCGAAAAGCTCTCTGGTGGCTAGTGATGGCAATGGGTCGGGGCGGGGCGGGTACCTCAATACCCATGCTCCGCCCCACGCTAGTACGGGTCGGGGCGGGTAATACCCGCGCGGGAACGGGGCGGGTCGACCCACTCTTACATGCTATTTGAGAAAAATGCATGCACAATTTTACTTTTTATGATAAAACGAAGGGGAAAAGACTTGATAAATGAATAATAGTGATAATATAATATGTAATTGAGTCTATTTAGTTGAAAGATCAAGTCTAACTAGTTGAATAAAAGCCAAAATAGGAGATATATGAATGGATGGGGTAAAAAATTGACCTAGAACGGGCTAAGAATGGGGCGGGTGGGGCAGGGCAGATCGGAAGTTGATACCCATGTCCCGCCCCACTCTACTGCGGGTCGGGTAATACCCGCCCCATCGCGGGTCAGGTCGGGTATTACCTGGCGGTGCAGGTTCAAATTGCCATCTCTACTGGTGGCTAGAAATTTGAATCCCTGAAAAGCCAACTCATATTTTGTCTTGATATCTTTTGTAGATTATTAATTCTTTCAATATTAATTTTATATCAAGGATGATTTTATAAATGAATTTTTAGTTGTATACATTGAAAAATGTTTGAGTCTCAAAATAAACAATGAATGTATTTTATAAACCTTTTAGAATATGAGATGTCTCACGTTGATGTGAGAAACTACTCATTAATTCATATTTTATATGCTCTTTTTAGAATATTTTATTTTTATCTAATGGCGCATTTCTGCATAAAACATGAGTTCATCAATATAAACTGTGTGGTGCTCGCACTTGTGCGCGAGCCCTTGCAGTTTAAGTCTGGTATGACCCATGAAGCATTCATGCTTGTACATGGTCGATCCATATACATTGTCTTCAAGGTATGCTCTAACTATGTCGTGCTAGCTCGACCATGTGTCTATGTATAGTTATATGCATTATAATAATTAACTTTCTACCTATTCACAACACCAAGATAAAAACAGTCATAATTGCACCCAATATTCGATTTTGACTACCCGATGAAATACTACATTTGAATAGACTACAATTGATGTCACAAATAATAATTGTACTTCTAAATCACACATAAAATATTTTAAACATCACCAATATTAAGATTAGATTAATTATTATAAAGAGTAAAAATTATATAATGAGGTTAATTATAACTCATGTATATGTTAATGTCCAATAAATTGATCAACACATCTGATCCAAAACTGACGAAATGAACATCACATTAAACATGATATCGTCTCATTATTGTCGGGTCCATTCATGCCCGATTACCAAAAAGTTAACATTTAGCAGTCAACCAACCTAAAATTTTAGAGAACCAATCACTTATAGTTTGTACAAAATATTATTGTTTCGTATTAGTTTTGAAAATTTATACACATCTTTCACATTTGGTCACTCAAATTATACACATCTTTCACATTTGCCACCCGAATTACTTTTCTTTCTGATTCGCCACTAACTTTATGAATCGTTTCACCATTCGTCACCGACCGTTACACTCCGTTAAATTTGTCCTACGTGGCAGTCAACTATAAAGTTTGACCGTTAACTAGTGACGTGGAAATTAAAAAAAAAAATAAAAAAAAGTATTTAGCCGCCCACTTTTACACCTCCTCTTCTTCGTTCGTTCCTTCCTCTGCTTCTCACCGCCCCCCCCCCCCCCAATGGCTTCCTCCACCATATTAGAAGGCCACTAAAGAAGCGCTAGGAAGCGGCCGTGGGGACGCTACGCGTAAGAAATTCGCGACCCGTGGAAGAAAAGCTGCATCTGTCTAGGTGTTCCACACCCAAAAGAGGCCGCCCTCGCCTGCGACGGCGCCGCCCGCTCCCTCCGTGGAAACAAAGCCAATACCAACTTCCCCCACCTCCTCCATTGCCGACGCCGCCCTCCCTTCCACCGGCTTGTCACTGGATCTCTACTCCCTCACCGCCGGCAACAACACCATTTCTTGCACCAGCATCGGTGAACAGCCGCCATAGGCTGCCCCCGCTTCTCCCTCGGAGGGTTCCTCCAGACCGGCGTCCTCAAGGAAATCACCGTCGAAAATACCATCACCGTCGCATCAACAGCTCCACCGCCGGATATCTCTGCCGTCGTCGCTTTCCTTCTATTGATTAGGCTTCACCTGCCATTAGTTCATCTTTCCGATGTCAACCCTTCGTTCATCTTTCCGATGCCACTTAATCCTCCCAACAAGGTTCCAATCAATAGGGATTCAGTTGGAGGAGCCGCTATAGGCATTGAATCCCTCAATGCCCGACCCTCTGCAATTTCTTCATAATTAAATAAGTAGATTGATGAGGTGGAATTTTTTTTAATTTTTTTTTAATTTCCACGTCACTAGTTAACGGTCAAACTTTATAGTTGACTGCCACGTAGGACAAATTTAACGGAGTTTTAACGGCCGGTGACTAATGGTGAAACGATTCGTAAAGTTAGTGGTGAATCAGAAAGAAAAGTAATTCGGGTGGCAAATGTGAAAGATTTGTATAATTTGAGTGACCAAACGTGTAATTTAGCCTTAATTTAAAGAATTCTACATCGCTTTTGCATATTCAATACTGCAGTTCGATATGCAATATTTCAAGCAATGAAATTTGTGTTGCAATTTTAAGATTACCCGTCATTTTATAGGTTATAAAAAAATTTATAAATTACGTATTGAACTTTGCTTTTCAGAAGATTTAATAGGCTAGCTAACCGTGAAAAGTCCTCTGGTTTTCAAATCTTCGCTTAGTGCATGTTTACAATTTAAGAAGATAAAAACAAATTTGTTTAGTATAATTGGTTGTGATTATTGTTTTTGTTTGGAGAGATCATGGTTCAAATCTTTATATTGATACTTTTTCATATGAAGTAGATAAAATTGTGTTGACAAAAATATTGTTCCTACTTTCACTCACGCTTCACAAAATTTGAAATAGAAAATCTTAAACCTTGAATATATCTTCTAGAAAGAACTTCTTCAACCAAGTAGGAAAGGTATTTTACCTGATTCAAACATTGATTCAAACATTAAATAATAAATTGTATATGTGGTTCAGTTTAGACAAAATACATATTTGTAGCCAAAACATGGATCTTTGTGACAAATATAGTAATTTTTTGTCACAAATCTACACATATAGGTTGCTTCCGCTTCTCTTCTTTAGAGTCGAGTTGCCCTCGCTCCAGCGAACTACCCTTTGGGCACTATGACGGGAAAAAGCTTCCTAGAATCACTCTTAGACCACGAAATTTGAAATGAGACTCTCATTTTCCAATTTTATCATTATATTATGTGTAGATTTGTCACAAAAAAATGATTATACTCGTCACAAAGGTCCATATTTTGGTTACACTTCTGTATTTTGTCTAAACTAAACAACACGTACAATTTAATATTAATGTTTGAATCAATATTGCTTGAGTTCCGATTTCAGAACTAATCTCTTTCTATAAAATATAAATAACTTAAGATAAAATATAAATATAGAAGTATTCACCAAACATATTCCTAGAGGTTAATCAAAGAAATAACAATAAATAAAATGTAGCATAATTGGTTACAATGCTCTTTCTTCATTTAAGTGACCAAGGTATCGAACTCTAATGATAACATTTTTAATAAATATACATGAACTGCGTGCAAGGACAAAAATGACCTTTCTAGAATCACTCTCAGGCCATGAAATTTGAAATAGGAGAATTTCAACTCATGTTTTGCCTTTATGTATTTTGTAGATAATAGAATGGAGGATTTAGTTTCAAAACTCACAAAAATTCTCAGTTAAACAAATTTTCTAAAGGTTTTGTTTCTCAAAAAACAATAGTTTTGTTTTCATTTTCAGATTTTTTTGTTGTGGCAATTATAAAAAATGGAATGGCAAGTGAACGTGGAAGAGCTTGAAGTTGCAGCCCCTAGAAAATGTGGAGGGATTTCGGATTTCCTTCTGAATACTAAGGAGAGAATTATAGTGTCCTGATTCATCCCACAGCTTCCCATTGACACAACAAAGCAGCAGTGAAGAATGTCATTCAAGCAAGTAAAGCCATTAAACACGAAAGCTCTCATTCTGCTTCTGTACAACCATTACAGCTCTGCTCAAAGGCAGAGTGCTCATCCTTTTCCAATACAGTCGTTGAGTTTCTAAGACAATGTCGTCGTAAAGTACAGTTGTGTAACGATTCGCAGGGCAGACCCTAAATCAAAAGAGTAATGCCTGCATAAAGATTGTAGAACAGCATGCAGGAGACCCAGCTAGGAGAACACTAAACATGCAACAGATACCGTTGATTTAATCGTGACACCAAGCCAATGTTCGAGCATAACCCCAGCATAGGAGAACACACTCTGCTCCTTGTTAGCTAAGCTAGAGACTATTGCAAAGTCGTAAACAGATTCAGAAGAGCATGTAAAAATGTAATCTAATTTCAGAGGGCCAAATCTCACCCCAATCAATTCTGTAACAGTTACATTTCAGCATCAATCAAAGCTGCAAAACAATCGGAACAATACCTTATTCATCCAACCACTACCGAATCACCAATGTGCACTGGAAAAAAAGAAAGAAACCCTAACTGGTTTGGGGAGGTTTTCAGCGAGGATCAGAGAAGAAGCCATTGATGCCCGGCATGACTTCTGGGCGCTTAGTGCGAACGAACTTCCTCAACGCATGTTCTTTGTACTTCTCGCCTTCTTCGTGGTTGTCGAGAATCCCAGCCGCCCTGTTCTCCTTCGTCACCCTAATCGAAAGATGAATGGCGATTCCAATCACACAAAAACCCACACGCAACCGCGAGAGGAAGAAATCCTGGAACTTTGTTACAGGGTTTTAGGGTTTATCTAGATCATACAAACCTGACTTCAGGATTTCCGGTTATGTTCCTGACGAGCTGCATCCCGCAGATCCCTACCGCCACGCCGATGGTAGCAAACAGAGGGAAAACCTAAAAGAAGAAACGAAACACCCTCCGTTGTTTTCAGAAATCAGTTTTCTTAGCAGCCATACAGATCAAAATCGGAAGGGAGGAAAAACAAGTCTGTGGAATTGACGAGAGAGCGAATAGTAATACCTCGGGCCGAATCCATCTTGATGTGGTAGCCATTGTTACTACTCTGGAGTTGCTGAGAGAGAGAGGAGCGAGGAGGAGATTGAAATCAAAGGAAGAAGAAACGTCTGCGGAGGAGAAAAGGAAAGTTCTGATTTTCTTTTGGTAGGAGTTTGAAACGGACTCCGGAAAAGAAGGGAGGGTTTTGGGACTTGGGGGGAGAAGAACTGGAATTCGAGAGTCGTAAGTCGTAACGCGGCGGGAGAGAGTTCGCAGAATACCAAAACTCCATTTTGTTAATTTATATTTAAAACTCAATTGTACATCAAGCGGTTTCGTGGTGTAGTTGGTTATCACGTCAGTCTAACACACTGAAGGTCTCCGGTTCGAACCCGGGCGAAGCCAAATTTTTTTTTTTCCCGTACTTCACGGGCTCTGTGTATTTGGGCTTCCGCGTTTCTTTCCTTTTGGGCTTTTCCTCGATTGGGATGGGCGCACCAGTTTTTAGATAGGCTTTTTTCTTTTTCTTTTTTGTCTTTCACCATAGTAAATTTGTGTTCTTACTTCTTACAACTTTTCTGATTAAAGTAAACCAAAAAATTATTAGAGATAGTTGAAATCTAAGAGCTTGTGTATTAGTAAAATCGTAACATGATGTTTCAAATCTTTATTTTCATTAAATAATACTTAATTCACTCTATCATTTTTCTTACCAAGTTGCGATAAGATTAAAGTGAGTCTACCTTGATTAAAAATCATGTTCAATTTGTCATTCGAGATTGGTTTATATAAAAACAAACAACGATAGAGAAATAAGAACAACTAGGTAAATTGTATTTCACACTACATATCTAATTCATCAAATTCAACAAGCAAACAACAATTTGTTTCAAATTCATAATTAACCAAATCCATTATAAATTCAAAAAAAATCAAAATCCAAATTTTAATCACTCATTTTCTAAATCCAGCAAGCAAATGACAAAAAAAACTTCCGGTAGGACATAGTATCCTGCCCTTCTTGATTGATCTCTTCCATATTTATCTTGTATACTATTACTAACTAACTACTATGCCTATCTTTAGTTATATTTTCTTTTTGTATTTCTCATTTTTTAGGTATATTAAGGTGGGCTGGCCTTAGCATATTTTTATCAATAACTGAATAAAGAGCAGCATGATTGATGGGGATCTGCATCTGCAACCACAAGTCATGCTTGCACACCCTCTCCCCTCCCCTCCCTTTCCACTTTCAACTGTATGTATCATATATATTCTCATTAGGTACACCACTAATTTTTTTTTTTTTTTTATTGGTGGGGGACTTTTTATATTCTTCTCAACCTTTACAATTTTGGGGGGAAAATGAAATAACTAAATATTAGGGCATCAGAATTCAGAGTCACGTTGTGTTAGGGGACTATAGCTCGTTTCAAACTTTCAAATGTAGATAAATATAGGGTAATGTATATTTTTTATCCAAACTTTTTTCAGATTTTTATATTATTCAAATTTATTAAAATTCTATTAATTAGTCAAATCTTTCATAGTGCATCAAAATATTATTCATTTTTACTGTATCGTTAATAATTTTACAACTTTTTTATTAGATAAAATACTAAAATTTTGGAATGTTGACCTTCATGTGTCTGTTTCAAACCAGTATTATGTTGCCAAATCAATATTACTAACAAAATTGCTAACTAAAAGTTAACATTTGGATAATTATTAGTATTTCAACAAGTTTGAATAATATAAAAAAAATTAAAAAAGTTTGGATAAAAAATACACATTACACATAAATAATTTAAAGTAATTCGATCAACATACAAGCGAAAAACTAGTATATATAATAGTCATAACTTATAGATAAACTCAACGGGGCGTGATACGACCTGACATAACTAATTGCCACAAACCCACGCTCCCAAACTTAGAAGAGGATACAATAACCACAAATAATGATATATCTTGAGAATAATTGTCTCAAAACAATTAAAGTCAATTGACAAGTAGTGCCACCAAACAGATTCGCATGCCTCGACACTAAAAAATCTGTTGAGAAATATTCAACTAGTTAAGGATCATGATCTTTAAGTGGGATGACAAAAATATCCGTAACCGTGGATATCCGCTCGAATCCGATCTAATAGGGTAGGGTAAAATTCGAACCCGAAAGACTTTTAGTGGGTACGGGGAAACCCAAACCCGAATATTGTGGGTAATGGATTGGCATGGGTTTCTCACTATCCAACCCGAACCCGCCCGATTATATACATTCATATGTATTTTGTCTAGAAATAATCATTATTTTTCTCCAACATATTTAATATTTAGCATATAAATATAGTATATTCTTGAATTATTGTTGTAATTTTCTTCATTCTAGTGAATTATTGTTGTATTTTTCCTCTTATATAATATGAGAATATGCGGGATTGTTAACATATTGGTTGGAGTTATGAAAAAAAATAATTACCCATGGATAACCGCGGATACCCGAAATCCGAACAGGTATGGACATGATTTTGATTTTCTACCCGTTTTTATGTGGGTATGGGTATGAGTAAAACCCAAACTATTTTGAGTAAGGTAACGGATATGCACTATCCGCACCCAACCCGACCCAACCAATTTTCATCCCTATCTTTAAGGACGCATAACATTATATACTTCTTATGTTCTGTGGCAGAATCGTAAACCAAAACGAATGGGGCTAAATAAAATATACTTGAGGAATTTGAATCATGACAATGAGTAGGAAGATAAGAGCCTTACTAATTAATATACTTTCGAAAATTATTACAAATTTTACATATATATTTAAGTTTAAATTACCAATGCATGGAATAGGAATAGGAGAGGAGATGGAGCAAGAGCAGAAGAATGTCTACTTTCCAAGTATTGTATATTTAAAATATTAATAAATATTTGAAATTTGTGTTTAAAAAATTAATGAATATAATACTAAATTTTAGATAAAATACTACATCTCTAATTTCTAATGCAATATATAAATCCATATCAAGAATAAAATAATAAATTTCAATAGCTCATTCGAAAAATTTGTTACCTATCTTATACATAAAATGATAAAATTGTCTAAAGACAGTGTGCATTTTAAATTTTATTTAAAAAAGGAAAAAAACACTTATGCCCCTCCCGCCTGATCACCTAAGTTTTTCCAAATGGCATCCTAGTATTTCATTCCAGGGTCTTACTGTTACTCATCATCTTCCAATTTTTTTATCTCCATCTACCGTCAATCATTTGTTCCCTTCCACCAAAATCTTATCGTCTACAGAATTCTAGAATTCTAATAAAAACATTATTGCATAAGTCCAAACAATCTCTAGATTAGTGATTACCTCAATAATCTCATCAAATCTACCTCTTACGATCTAGTCCTGAACTCTTAATCCTGATAAGTTCACAACACATGCAAAGAGGTTGAACTCTATAGAGTCCTAGTCGATCACTAGTGATTGACAAATAATTAGTCTGATAAGCTGAATCCTACAAAGAGCTTGTATTGTCGTTAATTATTTTTCGTTCATACTCTCATCCACCATATGTAGGCCTATCTCTGGTAAAAAACTGATCGTTGTCTTTTGGTCGCATCTATTAATTTGCGAATGTTTTTCAAAATTTTCCTACTTCGTATTTTTGTGCTCTAAAGTAGGTACGCCAACTCTTGTCCCTCCAATTGTGTTACTTTATGATTAATTAATGCTAGAGAATGTGTAAATAATTTAAATAGAAAAATAAAGTTTTAATCACATAACCATACACATTAAGATAAATAAGTATCTACTCGTTCCTAACATCAATTTAAAAAGACACTCAATAAATACCCTGATTACTCGATTTTGGCTACCCTATGAAATACTAAATTTCAACCAATTACCAGTAATACCACAGTCCACAAATAATAAGTATACTTAGTGTTATGCCCGATAAGCCAAAGCATGGCTCCACCGGTAGTCCAATAAATCAAGTTGCGCAAAAAGTGCAACTACTCACTCCCGACCCCAATCAGTCAAATAAGGCCCATTGGGCACCTAATTCTGGAAAGGGCTCGCATAATGACAATACCAAATTACCAATGAGACAATTATCCTTACTTGAGAGAAATAATCTAACGAATAGCAGGGTCACACGCCAGTCTGACTCATTGGATTGATGCTCGAACATTGTAAGCGATCAAAAACCTTTTGTAAGCACTTTAGAGGACATACAAAGTTCCATAGACTCACCTACGCTCTTCTTGCGGTTGTAGTGCTGCCGCATGTGGCCGCTGCGGACAGGACCGTTCGAAAAGCTCTTCCCGCAGAAGGCGTAGACATGCTTCCGCCTTTCGCAACTTTTTCTTTGTAGTGGCATTCGGCAGCAACGCAGGTGAAGAGGAGTCCTCATTGTGGTGTTGCAAGTAAGCATGATGAGGCAACAAGCTCTCAGACACTCGTCTTCGGTGGGATGCTGGCCGGATCGCTTAAACCTCTTGTGCTTGGTCCAAGGCTCGAGGAGGCGATCTTTGAACTAGAAGGAAGGTGCCCCAGCAGACGTGCTTCCGCCTTTCGGAAAGCTCTTCCCGCAGAAGGCGCAGACGTGCTTCCGCCTTTCGCAACTTTTTCTTTGTAGTGGCCTTCGGCAGCAGCGCAGGTGAAGAGGAGTCCTCATTGTGGTGTTGCAAGTAAGCATGACGAGGCAACAAGCTCCCAGACACTCATCTTCGGTGGGATGCTGGCAGGATCGCTTAAACCTCTTGTGTTTGGTCCAAGGCTCGAGGAGGCGATCTTTGAACTAGAAGGAAGGTGCCCCAGCTGCCGTGGGGGAGTTAGGAGCTTGGAGGGCCATCTTGGGGTGAATTCAAGTTGGAAATTGGTGCTTGTGTTGGAGATTGAAAGGTTACAAGCTTATTGGAGAGGCTGGTCTGTTTATAGAGTAGTTTATTAGGATACGAAGGCTTAGAGTGCCCGAGCATGACTCGATGTGTCCTGACATATCATTAATGACCTTTAAACTAATTTACCTAGTAGAAATAGGATCAACGTCTCTACAGATGACATACATTAATACAGATTTTCCCAAAATAATCAATCTACATCTACACAATAAATAAAAGCCAAATGAGAAAACTTGAAGCCCCATTTCAAAATTTCCTGCATCCAGAGTGAAAGTAGGAAGGACATTCTGGTCTT